CAGATAAGGAGTTTGACTGTTCTATAAGCTTTTAAAGATAAGCTGTGGAGGTTAAGATGTCCCCATAGTCTCAGACATTTAAATATTTGGTTCCCAGATGGTGGGCCTATTTGGTGAGACTTTGGAGATGTGTTGTTATTGGAGGAAGTCTACCACTGGAGGTGGGAATTTTGAATTTAAAGACTCACTGGGTGGAGGTGGTTCACACCTTTAATCCCAGCCCTCAGGATGCAGAGGCTCAAGCAGATCTCTGAGTTCCAGGCCAGCTTGGTCTACACAGCAAGTTTCAGGACAGCCAAGACTACATAGAAAAACAAAACAAAACAAAAAAACCAAACACACTATTCCCAGTTTTATCTCTGCCTTGTGCTTGAAATTCAAGCATTGAACCCCAAGATTCTGCTCTCAGCATCTAGTGCCTGTCTCCTGGGGCTCTGTTCACCAACATGGAGTCAAGGCTCTGCAATCTGGACACCCAGAAGCTCAAATAAACTCATTCTTTTAAAAGTTGCCTTGGTCATGGTGTTTTGTCACAGCAATAGAAAAATAACTAATATAGAAGTTGGTACTAGGAGTGGGATATTGTGGTAACAGACCTGGCCATGCTGTTTCATAGAAAAATGTAAGAAAAACTTTGGGACTTTGAACTAGAAAAGTGGTTGAACACGGTAAGAAGAATTAATGGGCCATGCTAGTAGTAGCTTAGAATACATCAGTGCTGAAAATCATGCAGTCTGTGGAGACCCTGCTCAAGGAGTTTCAAATGGGAGCAATATTAGCAGCTGTGCTAGAAATCATTATTGTGATATTTTGGCAAAGAACATGGCTGTCTGGTGTTATTCTAAGAACTTGCCCAACTAACACACTAATTTCTTTGATGGAGGAAATATCAGGACAACCTAATATTTACACTGTCACATGGTTATTAGTAATCACTCTTACCCAGATCTACAATGAAAAAGAGCAAGTAGGACTAAAAGAACTAAAAATTTACAGTTTAATAAGAAAAGAGTACCAAGAATCTTAATGCTGCAGCCAAGGTTTGCAGACAAGGGGGTTAAGAAAGGCCTCATCCACATTGGAATAAAGGGAAGGGTGCCCTCAGGGCAAGACTTTATCCATCTCAGCTTCCAACTGAGAGGCCAAGAAAGAAAGGCCTAAAGAATATTTCTGCTCCTAAATAGCAACAAAAAAGGAAAATGTCTGCAAATGTGATTCAAGGGGGTCAGGATCTGTCCCAAGCAAGTAGCCAAACTTGGCAGTGTTGCTCACATGCTTCTGGCTTTAGAGACATGAAGGATACACAAATTAGTTACAGAATCTTCCTCCAGGGTTAAGGAGAGTCACTGAGGCCAGGCATGTGTCAGGGGAGTCTCTACATGGAGGCCCAGAAAGGCTCCTGCTTAAAGCTGTGAAAATGAAGCCTGGATTGCCTGAAGACCCCAAGATGTAAGAGATGCCAGAACCATGGGATATTTGCCAAAGAGAGCTGCACACAGGGGGTGGAGACAACCCCAAGAGTGCTTGTTGCAGTGCAAAGCTATAAAGGTGGAGCTATCTAAGGCTTTGACACTGGATATGAAGCTACAAGATTTGAAGTTTGCCCTTCAAAGGTTCCATACTGCTTTGGTCTAGGATTTCTTCACTATGCCTCCAATCCTTCCTTTTGGAATAGCAATGTATATTGTATGTCATTATGTGTTAGGAGTATGTAATTTTCTTTTTTATTTCACATAGGCTTACAATTAAGAGATGTCTTTGTGAATTTTAGACTTTTAAACAATGTTGATACTGTGAAAGACTGGGGACTTTTGAAGCTGAACTAAATGTATTTGCATTGTAAGATGGCTATGAGAATATGGGGACCAGGGAGTGGAATGTGGTGGTTTGAATGAGAATCTCCCCCATTGCCTCAGGCATTTGAATACTTGGTCCTCAAGTTAATCACCAGCTGTGCAGGAGGCTTAAGAAGTGTGACAGTGATGGACTCTTATCTCTGGAACCATAAACTCAAACCTTTCCTTCTACAGGTTGCCTTGGCCATGGTGTCTTATCACAACAATAGAAAAGTAACTAATATATAAGCAGAACACCAACTACAAGTAAAAAGACAGTCAACACCCAAAAGTGGTATTACATGGTCTTGAGGTAGGTTGATTCCTACTTTTCTGAGAAATAACCATACTGATTTCCACAGTAGTTGTATAAGTTTGCACTCCCACCAGCAATGAAGGAGTGTTCCCCTTTCTCCACATCCTCTCTAGCATAAAGCTGCCATCAGTGTTTTTTATCTTAGCCACTATGATTGTTGTAAGATGGTATCTCAGAGTTGTTTTAATTTACATTTCCCTGATGACTAGGGATATTGAACATTTCTTTAAGTGTCTTTCCACCATCTGAGATTGTTCTGTTGAGAATTCTCTATTTAGATCTGTACCCCATTTTTAATTGGATAATTTGGTAGTTTTATGTCTAGTTTCTTGAGATCTTTGTATATCTTGGAGATCAACCCTCTGTCAGATGTGGGGTTGGTATAGATCTTTTCCCATTCTGTAGGGAGCTGTCTTGTCTTGTTGACCATGTTTTTAGCTTTATAGAAGCTTCTCCGTTTCAGGAGGTCCCATTTATTAATTGTTGCTCTCAGTGTCTGTGCTACTGGTTTTCAGGAAGTGGTCTCCTGTGCCTATGTATTCAAGGGTATTTCCCACTTTCTCTTCTATAAGGTTCAGTGTGGATGATTTATATTGAGGTCTTTGATCCATTTGGACTTGAGTTTTGAGCATGTTGATAGATATGGATCTATTTGCAATCTTCTACATGTTGACAGCCATACCAACACCATTTGTTGAATATGCTTTCTTTTTGCCACTTTATATCTTTAGCTTCTTTGCCAAAAAATTAGCTGTTCATGGGTGTGTGGGTTAATATCAGGGTCTTCCACTCCATTCCATTGATCTACCTGTTTGTTTTTATGCCAATACCAAGCTGTTTTCAGGACTATAGCTCTATAATAGAGCTTGAAATCAGGGATGATGATGCTCCCAGATGGTCCTTTATTGTACAGGGTTGTTTAAAGGAGGCATACTCACAACACAAGGGCATTTGCTTAACTACGTTCATAGCAACATTATTCAGAATAGCCCGAACTTGGAAACAACCTAGATACCCCTCAACCAAAGAATAGATAAAGAAAATGTGGTACAGTTACACAATAGAGTACTACTCAGCTGTAAGAATGACAACCTAAAATTTGCAGGCAAATGGACAAAACTAGAAAAAAAAAACCTTCTGAGTGAGGTAACCTAAAACCAGAAAGACAAATATAGTATGTATTCACTCATAAGTGGGTACCAGACATAAGACAAAGGATACCCAGACTATAATTCACAATCCCAGAGAAGCTTGAACCTTCTTCCAGAAACAGATGGAAGCAGATGCAGAAATTAATAACCAAACAATGGGCCAAGCTCCTGGAGTATAATCAAAATGAGGGAGGAGTGAAAATATGAACAGAGGAGTCAAGATCATGATGGAGAAACCCATAGAATCAGCTGACCCAAGCTAGTGAGAGATCACTGACTCTGGTCTGACAAATGGGGAACCTGCAAAAGACCTAACTAGACTCTCTTAATATAGGTGACAGTGGTGCAGCTGGAACAATAGATGAGGCCCCTGGCTGTGGGTCCAAGATCTAGCGCTAATGTACAAACTGACTTAGTGGAGCCCATTCTATATGGAGAGATACCTTGCTCAGTCTAGACATGGTGGGGGGGGGGTGCCTTGGTCCTGACTCAACAAGATGGAACAGACTTAGCAGACTTCCTAAGGGAGGCCTTACCTTCTCTGAGGAGCAGTTGGAAGGTGGGATGATGGGGAAGTGGAGGGAGCGGGATGGGAGGAGGGAAGGAGAACTGTGAATGGAATGTAAAAAATAAAATTAAAAATATGAAAAACAAACAAAAATAAATTATCAAAAGCACAAAATTATCAAGTGCCACACTGTAGCCATGTTTAGTGATTTTTCTCAAAAAAAAAAAGACAGCCTACTTCCTAATATTTAATAGGGAAGAAGACATGATCCCTGGTGGGGAGGGTAGTCGGTCTCTAGCTAGGCAATGTCCCCTGAGGAGCTGCATGTGCCAGAAATAATGCCTTGGGGCAGGTGTAAAATAATTCTTGAGCTTACTGGATCCAGCGTAACACAAACATTCTATTACTTGATTTTGAGTTTGTGTGGTTGTACATACATGTACATTTAAACAAGAAAGCTATGTTTCCTCTTCATTTTACTTACTAGACTATCTGGAACTAAATTTTGTGTGAGGTGTAACGTAGGGTGTTATGGGTTATTTGTATACACTAGGGATTTCATTTTTTTAAATATGAGAAAAAATATCCCAAATCAACAGTTATTGAATAGCCTGTCTTCACCTCTCCACCACATCAAACATCAATAGGTATGGCTTTCTTTCAGGGGTCTCTGTTGTATTCCATTCACCTGTCTGGCCTTGTACCCACATGATACTCTTGTTCATTCATGTACTCAATGACTATTTATGGAGTGTCTGCTAGATACTAGACATGTCCTAAGCACTTGGAGTACATTAACAAAGAAACAGATCTTTTTCTAGGGTACAGATTTTAGTGAGTAAATACAAACACAAAACTCAATAAATAGGTGATGCAGAGAGAGTAGACAAGAACTTCAAAAAGTAAGAAGAGTAGAATGCTATGGGTGAGATGAGGCACTAAGGGAGAGGGCAATTTTACAGTGTTTAAAGAAGGTCCTAAAGAGATGCTGACTTCAAACAAAGATGCCAAGGCACAGAGGTAATCAGTTAGATGCCTGATTGAAGTCCCAAGTACCAGCAATGAGTCTGTCACACTGAAGGAAACTGTGTGGCTTGAGTGAAGTGAGGATGACAAAGGAACCCAAGCAGGTGACAATGTAAGGATTCTAGAATTTTACTTGAGAGAGAATTCTGGAATTCTACCTGAATAGGGGATGGCATGAGAAAACTTTTGTCTTATAGGATTCTCTGGCTGGCCTCTATGTAGACCAGATAGGACGGACAGACACTGAGAACAGGTAGGAAGCTGGTTGTCAGGAGGGAGATTCTGGTTGTGGAGACGAGTCTGTGGCAGAGACAGTCAAAAGGCATGATGTGACTCTAAAATAGACATCTATATTCCATAACATGCATACATATGTATTCCATATACAACATGTACATAAATATATGTATTTGTATAGTTTGTATATGTACATGTACATTTGTGTGTCCATGAGTATGAGGCAAGATGTAGATATCAAGCATCTTCCTCAGTTGCCCTAACCTTCATATTTTGAGACAGGGTCTTTCACTGAACCTGGTGCTCATGGGTTGGGCTAGGCTGGCAGGCCAAGGATCTCTAAGGATCTACCAACCTCTGCCTCCCCAGTGCTGGGGTTACAGATGTGCACCACCACACCTAACTTTTATATGGGTTCTGATGATCTAAACTCAGGCCTCTTGATTGCAAGACAAGCACGTTACTGACTGAGCACCCAGGCCCTTGAATATATTTTGAAGATAGAGTTAGACAGATGCCTTGACAGTAGGGAAACAGGTTGAGAGAGAGAGGGAGTAAGAGGGAGAGAGAGAGACAGAGAGACAGAGAGACAGAGAGAGAGAGAGAGAGACAGAGAGAGAGAGAGAGAGAGACAGAGAGAGAGAGAGAGAGAGAGAGAGAGAGAGAGAGAGAGAGAGAGAGAGAGAGTGTGTGTTAGGGCTAACACCCACACCCACATTACATTGCTGGTTGGAGAGCATTCTGGACAGTCCAAAATCCAGATGTACCAGAAAAGATCAGTCATTCTAATCTCCCTCCTTTTAATGAGTCCTGATATTTGGCAGAGTGAATCTTCTTACAATACTCCTCGAAGTTTTCTTTGCTCTTCTGGTCCTTTGATATTCCCAATTTAATATCAGCTTGTCAAGTTCTATAAAAATATCCTCTTAGGATTTTTAATATAGCTACATTGAACTTACACATTAATTTTAAAGTATTTTGACATGTTAATAATATTAAGTCTTTCTATCAATGAGTCTAATATCACTTTCCATTTATGTAAATTTTCTCTGCTATTCTTTGACCCCATGATATAGTTTCTACACAAGCTAACACATTTTTATTGTCACTATTCCATGTGCCCTGGTTTGTGTTGCTCTTACGAATGCCACGCTCTTCTGTTACTTATTCTCACTGCTTCCTACTACAGCATAAAATCTCAGTTTTACTGGACTCCCTCTATCCTGAGAGCCCTGAAGAACCTCTTGCTAGTTCTACTGTTTGTCTCCAGGTTCTCCTTGATTTTCCAAGATGAGAGTTTGATTCCTTCCCACCCTTCTGTTACCTTTATGCAATGCTAAGTAAAATGGGTGATGTAAGATAATCTCGAAAAACTATTTCCGAGTGACAACCACTTGCAGAGGAAAAGTTTTTTCCTAATGGAGTTTCACTAGATACACAAACCACATGTAAGGGTAGGCCCCGTGCATAGTAGTGATGACCAATACAAAACAAACTCAATGGTGTCTTTGTAAATTATATTTAGCTTGCATTGCCATGTTTGGGCAATTTTTATCTTACTGGCATTTTGCCTGTATATTATGGTTTCTGATTTTGTGTTGTTATGGGTCTTGCTCTTTTTGTGTGTGAACATTTGTATTTATATGCGTATGTGTGTTTTGTGTGTTTCTTGTGCATTTTCACTGTTTTGCTTTGTTTAATTCTGGTTTATTTGATTTTTTTTCTTGTTTTCTGAAGAGAAAAAAAGAAGGTATGGAGTTTGGTTGTGAGGCAGAGATAACCTAAGAGGAGACGGAAAGGGGAAAACTGTGGTCAGAATGTTGTATAAATTTTCAACAACAACAAAAAATAAAACCCTAATCTTATACACACTTCACTGAGAATGCCTAATTAGACTATGAAGTACATAAGCACACCATATGCATGCAGTGCCCTCAGAGGTCAGAAGAAGGTGTGGGATTCCCTGGAACAGGAGTTACAGAAGGTTGTGAGCCACCACATGGGCGCTAGGAACTGAATCCAGGTCCTCTGCGTGAGAGATGAGAGTTCATAACTACTAAGCCATCTCTCTAGGCCCCATACTATTTCCTTTTAACACTTGGATATAGAGTACATAGTTTAAAAATGTATGTCAGCTCATTGGTCTATCTTTTCATCTTTATTCTAATTGTATTGGGTTAGAAACTGACTTTTGCCATATTCTGTTACAATTTATCTAGTAACCAAGCAGTTTTTCTAAGTGTTCCACAAGCACTTGAATACTATAAACATTTCTGTTCTAGTTTCTTTGTTGTTGCTGTGATAAAAATATTCTGACCAAAAGCAACTTAGGGAAGAAAAGGGTTTATTTCAGCTTACACTTCCAGATCAAATCCATCACTGAGGGACTTTAGCAAAAATTTGAAGCAGTATCCATGGAGGAATGCTATGTGCTGGCTCCATCCCAGACCAGTTTTCCTAGCTTTCTTAGAGAGCCAGGACCTCCTTCCAGGTGAATGACACCGCCCACAGTGGGCTGGCCCCTCCTATATCAATTAACAATCAAGGAAATACTCCATAGACATGACCACTGGTCTTTTCAGGTGACTCTAGGCTATTTCAGGTTGAAAGCTAAAGCCCACTAGGAAACTCTATGCCTTGGGTACAGTATTTTCCTGACATTGGTACACAAGCTGGGCACATAATTTAAGTCACCTAAGCCCATTCAAGATTCTGGCACATTAAACTATATGAAATATCCTCTTATATCTCACACTCTCTTTTGTTCTATTAGTTTTTGTATAATCGTTGGCTGTGTTAGCATGAGTTCCTTGCTGTTTCACCTTCTTGGCAGTGTGTCTTTGTTTACTATCTCTATTGGATGCTATTAAAAGACTTGTTCTTAAAATTATCTTTATTAATAACAGTGTCCCTGGGTTAACTTTCTTTGCGTATAATCTGGCATATCTTTTCCTCTTCTTTATTTTTAATTCTTCCATATGTCTTTGTTTTAGATATGCATCTTATAAGCAATGTGTAACAGTATTTGAAAACTTTCTTTTATTATTAGTAGTAATATATTTACTCTTGTTGTTTATATATTTTAAATTATTTATGGAGTCTTGTTTTGTTTTCTGCTTATGACCCCTTCTTATTTTATGTGACAATATTCTAGTTTGGGTTTTTTTATGTTTACTTCCCCTGCCTTGCTGATTTGAAGGCAAAAAAAACCCACACATTTCATTCACACATTTTCCTCAGCACATCTGGCATTACTCAGTATCCATCTCCTCTGAACAATCTCTTTCTCATTGCCAGGGTCTAAATAAAGTTCATTTTTTATTTTTTCTCAACACACTCACACGCCCTCCAGACACCCTTACCCACAGTAAGAGCCTCTTTTCCCATCACCCTCAGTCTCTGGAGTATCACAATACCCTATGGTTCTGCCCTGGACACCACCAACACAGGTTCTGCCCTGGTCACCAACAATACAGGTTCACAACCCAACGCATCCCTTCAGTGACCACGTGGGAGCCAGAACTTTTCAAAGCCTAATGTTTCACACATCTACCTTCTCTGAGCTTGAGAAGAATGATGGTGTTGAATGGGGATATATTGTGGGCCTCTGGCTCACACTATGCGGTCTTGACATCTCCATTTACCATCTAGAAGACAACTGAAACTAACATTGCCAACATTCAACTTGACTACCAAGTGATGCAAGCTATGGAATGACCGGAGGGGAACAGAAACCCATTCCCTTGTTTCCTCCTTTCCTCAAACTACAACTTTAGCACTAACGCCATCAAGGAAATGAAATTATTCCCACAGATAATAAACAGCCTGTTGCCCTTTTCTTTATATGATGAGAAGAGAGAAGTGAGAGGAAGGAAGGAGGGGAGGGTGGGAGGGAGGGAGGGAGTGGGAGGAAAGGAAGAAGAGAGAGGGAAAGAAGAAGGAATTGGTCCTCATCAGCTGTCGTCTGGGAGCCACACAGCATCCACCAGCCTCTGTGCTTATTATGGGATTCCCTCGAACCCCATGAAGATATTACTTGAAGGAGGAGATGGAAGTTCAGATTGCTGAGGTCACTTGTCCAAAGACAGGATTCAAGCCAGGCCTTCATGGAATTAAGAGCTACTGTTCCTTCTCTTGCGGCCACCCAAGATACGACCTCAGACACTGGACTGTGGGAAGCTAAGCACTGCATTCAGTGAACTAGACATTGCTTCTGTGCTGCCTTTCTCTGCAGAGAGTTCAGCACCACTCACTAAATAAACACAGCCTGTGGCCCCCAGGGAGAGTTTAAAGGGTACCCTACTGGGACTTCTTGTGTGCATCTCCCCTTGGGAGACACAAACAAGTCTATTCTCTCCTCGCATGGTTGGTCCCAGCAACAAACCAAACTACAACTGTACCACATTTCACCTTGGAGACCAATGAGTTTATTGGGCTTTCTTACAGAACACTGGTGAGGGGTCACCCAACATGTATGATAGCCATACTAACACACCCCTTCACCAGTTAACTTCCCCCAGTCTTCATACTCTTAGCACCTGAAGGAGGCTGCCTGCAATTACCACAGAACTGCATACAGATCACTGGGAGGGGTGCTGGGAACTTTGGGTGAAGGTCTAATGGCTCTCCCACCCTCTCCTTCTCTGAGGGAACATCGATCAATGGGTCTAATCCTGATGGACTTTTCTAACCAGGGATAGCTAATCTGATGAAGATGTGGCTGCTCAGAGGGCAATATTATACAACAGAATTGCATTCCCAATGGCTATCGGTGATAATATACATAGAGTATACATTGTATGTTGCCCATCTCCAAGGCCTTCTCACTAAGTTCCCTGTCCTCTTGAAAGAGACAAAGTGAAACCCAAAGGAGACCTCTCACCAGGGCACCCCAGGGATACTCAAGCCCAGCCACAAGGGGCAGCTCTGAAAGAGAACCAGGCAAGGGCAGGGACAGCAGCAACTCTGTGAGCCCCAGTGACAGAAACTGCTTGCCTGGTCAAGTCAATGCTGATC